TAATTTTAATTTTTTTACAGATTAATGCTAAATTCATTAAATCAAACGTTTTAGGTATAAATAAATCCACTGATTATTCCTTGCTGACTGAACTTTTCCTTTAATGACCATAAATCCCTTTGATTTATGGTTTATTAGTTATTAAAATTTTAATATTTAATGGATGTTTTAGGCCAATCTAGATTGGAAAACGCCGTTGACGTTTCTTCATGGTCTCTTTCTGCTTCAGATATTGAGGACATGCTGTGAAGTAGAGGAGGGGTTGCTGCCAGTGGTTGTTTGGGAAGGATATTGCTGTTTAGGCTAATCAGTGACTATTTTACAATCGGAAGCAGGATGTGAGGTGTTGGAGGAGGCTACTTCTCTAGCAGATAGACGGTATTCCTCAACGCTCTGTTAAATAAATGGCCCAGGAACGTTGTTCAGGGGAAACTTCCCCACCTGTTAGACAAACTGAGCTCGCCTCTCAGGGTGAGACGTTAGCAGGGGGGGGGTTAGCTCATGCATCAACAAGTTCTGGCAATGCTGGCAGGACAATCTGGTGAAGAACAAAATGCACATCTATAGAGAATAAAGCAGCTTCTGCCTCCACCAGAACTTAGCCTTATCCAATCAAACATTGCAGCTAGCTCTGCCAGTTAGCGTTAGAGAACCATTTATTGAAGATGAACTAGTTTAACTAAAGTCAGTAACACCAAACCTAGAGTGAGACCTTAAATAAACCTGCACAACAAAAGGCTGCAGAGATAAACATGGAGAGAAAATACATTTAAACTGATATAGAGAGAAAAGAGGCCTTAGGTCTGCAAAGAGCAACACACTGTAGTTCTGGGTGAGTGATGCCGTTACCTAGCAGGTAGAGAGTAAGGCTACTACTGGCTCTGCACTTACTTCTCTGTTCAACTCAAAAGAAGGGAAGAGGAGGAAGAGGAGAAGGAGGAGGATGGCTCTTCAAACCAAGAGGAGGTAAAGGAGGTGGGTTTGTGGTGGGAGGATGCTGGGTGGAATAAAGTTGGGTAAGTGCAGGAAAAGGCAAGGGGGTCAGGAAGAGTGTGGAGGAACGATGCACCAATGTTCTTACCAGTGCTGGGGACTCACTACAACTTTAATGCACAACCAGTGGAGGTCGTTTGTGTTTACAAAAGTTTTTACAGCAACAATCGTGAAATTAATTCTTCTAATTATTTAAAACGTACAGTAGCAGCCATTCAAAACGCCCCCCCCCCCCCCCCCCAGTCAAACAGCAGCCAAACGGCAGCCATCTTCCAACCACCGCAGTGACCCCTGTCTTCCATAGTTTCTGTACTCTGACTCCACCCTGTCTGACCAGGAGGTGGCGCTTCTCTTTAGATCTTAATGTCCATAAATCATGACAGAAAAAATATTTTCGTACAAAGGTTGATGTTTAAAAAGGAATTAAAGGGACCAGCCGAGGAACGTTGGGACATTTTGAACGGCTGCTTCTGTATCAGAACTGAGACAGCATGATGGAAGGAAAACTAGAAAATACCAGTTTCCTTCTATAAGATTAGAACAGAACATAAATTATTTGGCATCATAACATCAATGCTCACTAGTGATTAAACACCTTTTACATTCTTTGTTCTTTTATATTTCATCTTTTCTATTAGATCCCAAAGGAACCAGTGGTGTTAATGGAAAGCCTGATCCTTGGTGGGAACATGAGGACTAACTGGGACTGGGACTGGGACTAACTAATGGATGAGCTGTTCTTTCACATCTCCACAATCTGATGGATTCATCTGAAACAGCTGAACAAATAAATGTATTTAAAGAATAGTTTAGAATTGATGGTCTTTGGTCTGATTGGTTTGAAGAGGAAAACATGCGCCTCCTACTGGCAGTTCCGGTGCGTCCCCAGCCTAAGTCAGTGGTATCCAGTCATCCCAGCCTCAGAAAATTCATTTGAATCAAAACCAAATCTCTTTCAAAGGATGGTTTAACACAGCCACAGGTTTACTAACCTGACTCCCCCTGATGGATTAGCTCCGCATATCCATCAGGAAACCTTCCGTTGAAGTAATTTTGGGAAGGGGCGAAAATACTGG